GGTACCTTGTATCTCTTCTGACCAACTGACCAAAAACCATGGATTTCCATGACCCTTTCCAGTGCAAAATAATTTGCTAGAATAGCTCACAGAACTCAGGAAAGTGTTTTCCTTACTATTGCTCGCTTATAATAAAAGATTCAACTATGAACAGATAAACAGATGAGATCACTAGACAAAGGTATGTGGGAAGGTGTGTAGAGCTTCCACATCCTGTTTGGTGTCACATTCTAGTACCCAATGTGTTGACCAATCCAGAAGCACCCTAAACTCATTGTTTATAGTTTTTATTGAAGTTCCATAGGCATGACTGATTAAAGCATTGGCCACTGATGACTGGATTCCATCTCCAGCTCTATCTCTTCTTAAAGGTTAGGAAGTAGAGACCAAAAATTCCAATCTTCTAATTACATGGATGGTTTCTGTGGCAACCAGCATTCCCATCCTTAGTCAAAAGTCACCTACTTAATATAAACTCATGGGCTTAATAACCTCTTTCAGAAGCAGAGGACAAAACACAAATGTTAGTACAAAAAGCATACTTATTGCTTTTACCACTTAGAAAAATACAGAAGTTTTAGGAGTTCCATGCAAAGAATGGGAAATGAAGACAAAAATATGTGTTTCTTATCAAATGACAATATCACAACAGCATTACAAATAATGCTGCAAATAGAGCTCCCTACAAATGCCCTATTATGGTATACATACATTCTCTAGTGTAGATTTTGAAATGTGTAATTTCACAATTTAAATATTAATGAATAGTGCTAAATTACCCTCAAAAGCAGTGTCAATCTATAGTTCCACTAGCAGTGTATGAAAATACAGACTTATTCATAGCCTCATCAATTCTTGAGACCACTAGTCTTTTTAAAATTTTCACCACCTTGATAGTTGGCATTTTAAAACTGGTATTTCCTTGAATGAGGCTTTGTTGGTGGCTCAGCAGTAAAGAATTCACATGTAATACAGGAGATGCTGGTTTGATCCCTGTGTCAGGAAGATCCCCTGGAGAAGGAAATGGCAACCCATTCTAATATTCTTGCCTGAAAAATCCCATGGACAAGGAGCCTGGTGGATTACAGTCCATGGGGTTGCAAAAGCTGGACACAACTTAGTGACCACCATTTTCTTGAATAATAACACCACCACCATTTTCTTGAATAATAACAGAATGAATAGCTTAAACGACAAAATGACAACAAATAACAAATGTTGGCAAAGATGGAAGAAAAGGCAACTCTAGAGCACTGCTGGTGGAAATGTAAATTAGTAAGCTGTTAGGTAAAACAGCATGAAAGTTCCTCAAAAAATTAAAAGTATCAAAAGAACTACGGTACAATCCAGAAATTCCACTTCTTGGTAGTTTTCAGAAGAAAACAGAAACAGAAATCTAAAGGGATGTAGACGCCACTATGTTCACTGCAGCCTTATTTCCAATAGCCATTGTATAGAAGCAACACACATGTCCATCAAAGAATGGAATAAAGAGGATGTGATATATGTGTATAAATACGCATGCATAAACAACAAAATATTACTCAGCTATACAATGGCTGAATGAAATGAAATGAAATCTTGCCATCTGCAACAATATGGATGGACTTAGAGGGTATTATGCTAAGTAAAATAAATCAGACAATAAAATATGATTTCATTTATGTTTTGAAAATCTTAATAACAAAACAAATGAACTAATGTAACAGAACATAAACAGAATCAGATACAAACAGGTGGTTGCCAGAAGGGAGGGTTTTGGGAAGATGAGTAAAATAGGTAAATGAGATTAAGATTATTTATTTTGTAACTTAAAACAAGTCAAAAGGATGAAATGTACAGCATGGGAAATATAGTTAATAATACTGCAATAATTTTACATGATGACAGGTATAACTAGACTTATTGTGGTGATCATTTTGTAATGTATAGAATTACCAAGTCACTATGTTGTGCACCTGGGACTAACATGGTATTGTGAATCAATTACACTTCAATTAAAAAAAAGAATGAATACTTACTCATGCATTGTCATCCTCTTTTATTGCTTACCAATTTCTATCCTATACGTACTTTGCAACTGGGAAGTTTTTCTTTTGTTTTTTTTAAAAGAAATTATTTATACATTGTACCAAAAATTTTGTTATATAAAACATAAATATTTTCCTATCTTTTAGTTTAATTTGCAATATTGTATCAAAAGTAATTTTTTGTTTTAATGGAGTCAAATGTAACATTTTATTTCCCCTTCTGGCTTACTTTCCTCACCAAGCTTAGAACTTTAGATGTTTTGCTATATTTTCTCCTAATACTTTTGTAGTCTAGAAGTCATATCTAGGTCTTTAAACTATCTTGAATTTACTTTTGTGAAGTATGATTTCATTCTTTTTTCAAATATAAACAAGCAAATTTTTAACTTCTCTGAGACTCAGTTTACTTAGTTGTAGAATGACAGCAATCTACTTACCTCATCAATATTTTACTAAGATTAAAAGACAATATGTTTTAAATTTCCTGGTATAATCCTTGGTATATTAGAAATGTTTATTACACATCAGTTGTATCTGAAAATATATTTAACATACATTTAATAAATTGCCACTATATGAAATAGTAGCATTCATGCTCGGTTGTGTCCGATTCTTTGCAATCCCATGGACTGTAGCCTGCCAGGCTCCTTTGTCCATGGAATTTTTCAGGCAAGACTACTGGAGTGGGTTGCCACTTCCTTTTCTAAGGGATCTTTCTGACCCAAGGTTTGAACCTGCATCTCCTGCATTGGCAGGTGGATTCTTTACCACTAAGCCACTTGGGAAGCTGATATGTAATAAATATGAATAAGTTAATAGTATATTTAATAATTAATATAATATTTAACAAAAAGCAAGGCCATCAGTGCAGATCATGAAAAGTACCAGTGGAGAAATTTAGTTTTTATATAACAACCAATAAGTTAGTCACATGTAGAAACCATGGCTATGGTTTTACTACTTTCAAGTATAGGAGGTACAGATGGGTTTTAATAGTTATAGAGAATTTATAATATGGCAGGAAATGTCTGAAGCAATATATAGGTATGCACTCAATGTTCCCTCAAGAATATTACTACTAGGCACTTTTACCTCCATTTTCAAGTGGGGGAACTGAGGCATGAGAGGATTGAACTCAGGTCTCCTGCACTGCAGGCGGATTCTTTACCGACTAAGCCACTAGTGAAGTCCTAAACAAAGTAAGCTGGCAGTAGAACAAAAGTATGGATCCAGGCAATTTGCTCAAAAGCTAACACTCAAGTTACAAGGCTAAGCTGCATCCATAATATCCCAGGAGGTGGTATTGAATATCATTCACCAAAACAAAGGAAGACTTCAAACTCAGGGAAGTAAATTCATTCATCCAAAGGCCAAAACTGACTTTAATGCCCAAGTTTTTTCAGTCTCGACACCAGTTCCAATTAGAGGATCTCTGATGTTAACAAAGTTATAACCAACCTAGACAGCATATTAAAAAGCAGAGACATTACTTTGCCGACAAAGGTCTGTCTAGTCAAGGCTATGGTTTTTCCAGTGGTCATGTATGGATGTGAGAGTTGGACTATTAAGAAAGCTGAGCTCCGAAGAACTGATGCTTTTGAACTGTGGTGTTGGAGAAGACTCTTGAGAGTTCCTTGGACTGCAAGGAGAGCCAACCAGTCAATCCTAAGGGAAATCAGTACTGAATATTTATTGGAAGGACTGATGCTGAAGCTGAAACTCCAATACTTTGGCCACCTGATGCAAAGAACTGACTCATTAGAAAAGACCCTGATGCTGGGAAAGATTGAAGGTGGGAGGAGAAGGGGATGACCAAGGATGAAATGGTTGGATGGTATCACCAACTCAATGGACATGAGTTTGAGCAAACTCTGGGAGTTGGTGATGGACAGGGAAGCCTGGCGTGCTGCAGTTGATGGGGACGCGAAGAGCTGGACACGACTGAGTGACTGAACTGAACTGATGTTAACAATAAATGCCAAAGTGTCTTGTCATATAAACAGCAATTTACTGAGTGTCTGCTACAGACCAGGTACTCTTCTAGAAGCCAGGGATATAGAAATAAAATACAGTTGCTGCCTGCAAGTATACACAATATATTATAAAGTTACAGAAAGAAGAAGGCTAAGTCAATTGAGGAAAAAATGGGGTAAGGCTGGTGAGAGAATATTTCTAAGAGGAAGTGATGTTTGGGCTATTTAAATGAACCCCAAAAGACAGAAAAAGATGACCATGAGCACAGAGAAAAGCAGAGGGCATGCGAGAGAGAACACCCACTATAAATCATCACTGGATACTGTATTAAATAATAATCCTCAACTTCTACAGAATAAAATTTTCATAGGAAAAGGCTTCCTCTGGAATAGTGAAAACAAAACAAAAAAGATGTACTCAGAGAACTGTAATATTTCAGCCTAGATGAAAATTTTGACTCCATAAAAATTCACTTGTAATTTGTCCCTGATCAATCCTCAAATATTAACAAATGGGATACGGTGGATCCTTTTTCCAGTGTACTCATAATATTCTTCATGACAGGCGCATATTGAAGACTTGATTAAAAAAAAACTCACTTTATACTACAGCAGGGAAATCTGAAATCGGGCAAAATCAAGAGAATTCCTCTCAAACTGAGGGCTGTTATGAATAGTGCTGGATCTTCAATTACAGAGTCATAGAAATGAACAGAATTATAAAGGCTATCTACTTCAATCTTCTCATTTCAAGATGAGACTGAAACCAACAAAGATAAAATTATTTGTCCAAAATGACTAGATTATACACAGTTGGCAGAACCTACATATTCTCTCTTTAAGAAAGCTACAATGAAGGGACCTTAGAAAATTCATTTTATTTGAAGCTTAACATTAATCACATGTGATTTAGCATGGGGATAAAAAAACTATACTGCCCATTTAAAGATATGGGTTTCCATGTTACCAACAATGCCACATACAGAAGCATACTTACTTGGTCAGTCTTTCAATGGTTTGTATGTGAACATTATTATGGGTTTGGGAAAGAACAGCTTCATGCTGAGCACATTTCAAACAAAGACCACCAACACGGTTAGAAATATTAGCAGCAAGAAGAGACTCTTTATGCTTTAGTCGCTCTTTAAGATCTTCACAGTTTTTCTGATATTCAGCTAAGTCTTTCCTAAAAAGAAGAGAAAAAAGCTTTAGCAAGTGGACATAGCTGGGGAAGAAGTCAGGATAAACTGAAAAGTAGCACTGACATATATACACTATCATATGTAAAATAGAAAATAGATAGATAGTGGAAAGCTGCTATACAACACAGGTAGCCCAACCTAGTTAGTGCTCTGTGACAACCTAGAGGGGTGGGATTGGGGGCAGGGAGACTCAAGAGGAAGGGTGTATATATATATATATATATATATATATATATATATATATATACACACACACATATAAAATCATGAATGATTCACATTGCTGTGAGGCAGAAACCAATACAACATAGTAAAGCAACTATCATCTGATTAAAGTTTTTTAATTAATTATTTATTTTACTGCAACATTGTATTGGTTTTGCCATACATTGACCTGAATCCACCATGGGTGTACATGTCCAGGTAAAAGTATACTACTTTTAAATGTATCACCACAGTGATAACTACTATCATTTACTGGTGTTTACCTTATTAGGTGCTTTTTATACAATACCTTATTAATTCTTACCACAACCCTGAGATGTAGATGTGATTATCCGAATTGACCCTTTGAATAAAGTGAGACTTGAAAATATTAAATTTAAAGTTGTTTTAAGATTTTTAACACAGACTAGTGTGCCTCCAATACTGGCTCTCTTTTCAAGGGATCCCATCTCTTCCCAGAAATAAAACTCCAAATACAAATCCTAAATAGTTTCTCTCAATAAAAGGATAATACAATATCCTTAAATTGAGGGAAATATCCCATTTCAAGTGTTAAGTCTTTAAAACTTATAAAGAGAATTTTAAAAGATTGCATAAAGGACATGGATTTTATGCATGAGTAATATACTACTGCCGATTTTTCTTCGGTAAAAAAAAAATCAACTAATCACATAGTTCTACAAAGAACTGAGAGTGAGCTACAGAAAGAAGTCAGAATTCGACAGACATAAGATTTCACAAGTAGCAGCTATTAGCTGGAAATATACAGCTTGATAATGAAAGGGCAGAGGAATTGTGTGTGAGTGTTCTTCATTTGTTTGTTTGTTTTAATGGGATAGTTCCTGGATAAGGTTTTTCTCTATGCTGATCTGTTAAGGATTAAATGACCAGTATATGGATTGTATTTTCCTTCCCCTTCCCTAAAAAGCTTTGGTAAAGTCAACTTAGGTAACTGAGCTTCCTTGCACACATATCCCTTTCATATTGTATTTTTTTTTTTAAGTCCTAACTTAAAGAAATTGTTCTTAAATTCTTAAGACTGCAGAAGGCAGGCACTTTATCTCTGGCTCAGAATACTCTCTATAGATAAATTCAGGGATTTATAGCCATCCTATTTTGTTCCCTGTCACAAAGGAGAAGCCAACAGTCAAGACACCTGGCTGTTACACACTTCGTTGGACTCTTGGGATTTGGGGAGCTTTCAGACAGCCTGGAAGAAGTGGAAAAGATCTACGGGCCATCTAAGGGTTGAAAAAAAAAGCAAATCTAATGACACTCTGAAGGAGAAAAAAAAGGAGGTGTTTATATCTTTTTCCCAAGATAATATCTACAACATAATGTTTCCTTTTAAGTATCATGTAGAAAAAGTCTGATGGTTGGATGGCATCACCAACTCAATGGACATGAGTTGGAGCAAACTCTGGGGCATGGTGAAGGACAGAGAAGCCTGGCACACTGCAGTCCACGGGGCCGCAAAGAGTTGGACACAACTTAGTGACTGATCAACAGTACAGTTTGACTTTCGAAAGCTTTGTAAAAAAAACTTCAGAAGTACATTCCAAAGTCAGAGAGTCCCCATTACTACTTCTGTCAGCTCCAAATTCAAAACACTCAAGTAGATTCAGTTACATGAAAAAGCAAACAGAAAATTAAAAAAATAGGTAACGTAAAACTAGAGTTTCCAAGAGCAGTGATTTTCTTTCTTTCTTTAAGAAAATGTTTCTTTAAATAATCTTAAATTATGCTAAAAGAAAATGAAGAAGCAGAAGAATTCAGGGAACAAAGTCTGGTCCATTGCAAGGTGATATTTTAATGCAACGCAAGACTGCATAGTTGAATTGTGAATGGAACAAAATAAGTCATATTCCCATAAAATAATGAGCTAGAAATATATCACTAAATACTAGAGAACCAAAACACAATAGAAATAAAACTATAGCAAAGCAAGAAAGCAAAAATCAGACCATCTTATAAAAGTTTAGATTTCTTCATGAAAAATTAAGAGTCTCTACAGAAATCCTCAACCTTATATGGCATGAAAGGCATCAGAATATATTAAAATAAATGAATAACTACATTTGTAGCAAAAAGCCATGAGTTCTGGCTCTTGGTAGTACTTCAGTTATCGCTCTAGACAATATATGGACTGTTAAATTTTATGTTTTTTTAAATTTTATATCAAAAATAAAATTTACTAAAATAAAATTATAAAAATATTTTAAAGGTTATTTCATTAGAAAAGATTTCATTACCACTGTTTCAATTAACCTTTAACTTAAAAAATTAATTCCTGTATCTTGTCCTACTCACAATATAGAACAAATCACTAATGGTTAATCTATAATACATAGGCTCTATGGGGATTTTTGAAAACATATCAAAAAGTACATGAAAATTTGTATATACTCAAATTTGCCAAGGATATAAAAACTCAAGCTTTTATACTACTGTTGCAATTTTAAAATTAGATGAAGACCTCCTACAGAAGAAAAAAATATACTTGCTTGTAATTTGAAAATTACAGTGCTTTATTTACATTATTTTATTTTAAAAGCATAATTTCTATAAGAAGAGCTACTGATTCCTTTTTCTATATGAAAACATAATATTGTACAACTGATGAAGAGATAAAATTTATAATTTAGCTCACATTTCTTTGAAACAGGATTTGAAAAAGGACCTCACAAATCCCTTTAGCCTTTACTAATCTGAGGAAATTTCATGTAGTGTATATAAAATAACATCAAGCAATTCCTATATTGACTAAAACTTAAATTTCAGTAAACATTCAAACATATTTTTAAGATCATTATGGTTTTGCCAATGACTTTAAGTAGATGATAATACTTTACCTCAAAAAAGTCAATTGAGATTCCAGGATTTCACTCTTTTCCTCATAAGTAAGTTTTAGTCTCTCCTTTAGAAAAGAAAAAAAAATGTACATTTTGTCCATGTCCTGTGTTTTCATTATTAATATTAAATCAGTTATTTTTTTTTTTACCCAGGAGGAAAATCAATGTGCCCTCTCTGGAATCACTTTCCCTTTTCCACTCCAAACACTCTATTTTTATTGAGTGAAAGCCTGCAAAGAACTACTGAGTCATAAAATGGTGATTACTAATAAAAAAGTTTTTTTTTTTTTCCAAAACTGCATACACCAGTTCTTATTTTTAAAAGTATGACTGGGCAAAACCAATTTTAGCCCGTAAAGTCCATGAGGGCAAGGATCAAATCTTCCTGGAATCTCCCATTGTGATTGTTGCATAGCTGACACACCAAAAAATATTAATATGTGTTAGATGAATGATAAAAGTTATAAATCACAGTATGATAGACCAAAGTGATATATAATCTACAAGCCTTAGCTGATATCCAGTTTTTCTTTAATTCTAAGATAAAAACACTACCTCCAAGAGCTTATATTCTAAGCAGAAATAGCAAGACAGATGAACAAATATAATTATATACAATTTACTCTAGTGAAAATACAGAAGGTAAAATGAAATAGAAAAGGCAGGAACTTGTAATTTAGCTGAAGAGAAGTAGAGAAGGCTTCATTTGAAGAGACTAAGACTTGGATAATTTCCAATAGAGCAAAAGGCACAGTGGCTGGAGAATGTGCTATATATCTGGTCAATAAGTAGTTTAGTATCACTAGAATGTAGAATGCTAGATGGGAAAGTAGATAGAGATGAGCTGATTAGGTAAGGTGGTCAGTGAGAAGAATAAAAATATGAAGACTTTTATTTAGTATACATAACTAAATAAAAGCCTCTCCATAGCTGAGGCATTGGATGAATATTGAAATCTTTTTATCAGCATTGAATCTTATATTACACTGCTGCTTCTGCTGCTGCTAAGTCGCTTCAGTCGTGTCCGACTCTGTGAGACCCCATAGACGGCAGCCCACCAGGCTCCGCCGTCCCAGGGATTCTCCAGGCAAGAACACTGGAGTGGGTTGCCATTTCCTTCTCCAATGCGTGAAAGTGAAAAGTGAAAGTGAAGTCGCTCAGTCGTGTCCGACTCTTTGCAACCCCATGGACTGCAGCCTACCAGGCTCCTCCATCCATGGGATTTTCTATCCAAGAGTACTGGAGTGGGGTGCCATTGCCTTCTCCAATATTACACTGAAGGATATGTAAAAGGGATCATTATAAATGAAGACATTGCAAATAAATAAGAGATAAGCTGATGAACAAGAAGTAGCTACTTACAAACAGAAACAGACTCACAAACTTAAGAGAATGAACTAATGTTTGCTATTGGGTTAAGAATGGGGGGAAAGAGATAGTTACAGAGCTTGGATCGACATGTACACACTGTTATATTTAAAATGGATAACCTACAAGGACCTACTGTGTAGCACAGGGAACTCTGCTCAGCATCATGTGGCCACCTGATGGGAGCAGAGTTTAAGGGAGAATGGATACATGTGTATGTACGGCTGAGTCCCTTTGCTGTACATGTGAAATTATCATAACATTGTTAATTGGCGATACGCCAATATAAAATAAAAAGCTTAAAAAAAAAGAGTAATCAAGCAGCAAAGATAGAAAATATTTAGTACAAAGCTGCAAACAAGCATAATTTATAGAATTTTTTCTCTTGGTTTAGTGTTAAATTTTATTTATTTTTATTAAGTATATTTGATTTACAATATTAAGTGTTTCAGGTGTACAGTCAAGTGATTTCAGTTCAGTTCAGTTGCTCAGTCGTGTCCAACTCTTTGCGTCCCCATCAACTGCAGCATGCCAGGCCTCCCTGTCCATCACCAACTCCTGAAGCTTGCTCAGACTCATGCCCATCAAGTCAGTGATGCCATCCAACCATCTCATCCTCTGTCATCCCCTACTCCTCCTGTCTTCAATCTTTCCCAGAATCAGGGTCTTTTCCAATGAGTCAGTTTTTCGCATCAGGTGGCCAAAGAACTGGAGTTTCAGCTTCAGCATCAGTCCTTCCAATGAATATTCAGGACTGATTTCCTTTAGGATTGACTGGTTGGATCTCCTTGCAGTACAAGTTCTGCATATAAGTTAAATAAGCAGGGTGACAATATACAGCCTTGATGTACTCCTTTCCCGATTTGGAACCAGTCTGTTGTTCCATGTCCAATTCTAACTGTTGTTTCTTGACCTGCATACAGATGTCTCAGGAGGCAGGTAAGGTGGTCTGGTATTCCCATCTCTTGAAGAATTTTCCAGATTGTTGTGATGTACACAGTCAAAGGCTTTGGTGTAATCAATAAAGCAGAATAAAGATTTTTTTTAAAATTCTCTTGCTTTTTCAATGATTCAGCATATGCTGGCAATTTGATCTCTGGTTCCTCTGCCTTTTCTAAATCCAGCTTGAACATCTGGAAGTTCATGGTCCACGTACTGTTGAAGCCATGCTTGGAGAATTTTGAGCATTACTTTGCTAGCATGTGAGATGAGTGCAATTGTTTGGTAGTTTGAACATTTTTTGGCATTGCCCTTTTTTGGGATTGGAGTGAAAACTGACTTTTTCCGTTCCTGTGACCACTGCTGAGTTTTCCAAATATGTTCCATTATAGGTTATTATTAGGTACTGAATATAATTCCCTGTGTTACACAGTAAATCCTTGTTGCCTATCTATTTTATGCATAGTAGTTTGTATCTGTTAATCCCATACTCCGAATCTGTCCCTCCTTCACTCCCTCTCCCCTTTGTCAACCATAATTTGTTTTCTATGCCTGTGAATCTGTTTCTGTTTTGTATATAGATTTATTTGCATTATTTTTTCAGATTTCACATAAAAGTGATGTCATATAGAATTTGTATTTCTAAAAAAAAAAAAAAATTTTTATTTCTCTTTCTTCACTAAGTATAATATTTTCTAGGCCCATCCATGTTGCTACAAATGACAATACTTCATTCTTTTTATGGCAGAGTAATATTCTATCATATATATCATATATATATATATATATATATATCATATATATCATATAAACAATATCTTTTAAGCCAATTGTCTGCTGATGGACACAAGTTGCTTCCATGTCTTGGCTATTGTAAATAATGATGCTATGGACATTGGGGGGCATGAGTCTTCTCAAATAGGAGGTTTCATTTTTGGGGAGGATAAATACTCAGGAGTGGGTATCATATGGTAGCTCTATTTTGAACTTTTCAGGAAACCTTCATACTATTTCCCAAAGTGGCTGCAACAATTTACATTCCCACTAACAGGGCACAAGGGTTCCCATCTCTCCACATCTCTCCAGCATTTATTATTTGTATACTTTTTTATGATAGCCATTCTGACTAGTGTGTGAAGTGATACCTCACTGAGGCTTTGATTTGCATTTCTCTAATAATCTCTTTTTATGTGCCTGTTGGTCATCTATATATCTTCTTTGGAAAAATGTCTGTCTGGGTCCTCTCTCCATTTTTGATTCGGTTGTCTGTGGTTTTTTTTTTTTTTTGTATTGAGTTATGGGATATTTCTATCTTTGGATATTAACCCCTTGTTGGTCACATAGTTTGCAGATATTTTCTACTATGCTATAGGTTTTGTTGTTGGTTTCTTTTGCATAGTAAAAGTTTTTAGGTCCCACTTATTTATTTTCGCTTTTATTTCTTTTGCCTTGGGACACCGATCTAAGAAAATATTGCTAAGATTTATGTCAGAGAATGATTTGCTTATGTTCCCCTCTAGGAGTTCTATCCATGTATGTAAAACTGACAAAATTTTATGACTGAATAGATGTGGGGGAGAAAAAGAAATTAAAAATAACCCTGGGTTGTTGACTTGAACAAAACCAGGTGAATGCTGGTGCTAAAGATTTTTCCAGAGTGAAAAAAGGAAATAAAATGGAACCATTAAAATGTCCAACTAATTCAAAAGAAGGCAGGAAAGGAAAAAAAAAGAAAAGGTGAAGAAATAGCAGAAGGGGAAAAAAAGACATAAGAAGATAGTAGATTTAAAGCCAAGTATACACATAATCACTTTTTTTTTTTTACAAACATGCCTCAAATGTTTTAATAGATTTCAGCTTTTCCTTAAACTGTCTTTCCATAGTCAAAACAAAACAACAAAAAAAGACCCAATGTTAAAATCACTTAAAAAACTTACAAACTTGAAAAATTAGACACTTCAGATAGGCAATAAACTTCATATTATGAAAGCAATATATTCCAAGTTTCAAAGATTTGACAAATTCTGCAGAATGTCTTTCATCAGTAGATGGAAACTTTCAAACGCCACAGTCTTCCGTCAGGTAGGACTGGGTGTCATTCACTGGTCTGAGGTCGAATCCATTTCAAGGCATGTCGCGGTGGCACAGTAATGGTGGGGTGATAAAACGTACAGTCAGGTCGCGTACACTGCGTGTTAAACCTACAGTGTTTCGGATGACAGAAGGGACACTCCATTTTCTTACAAGCTGGGAAGTAGCGGCACAGCTGACTACTGGAAGGCAGTGCTGGTGCTGTGACTGGTTTTGGAGGCAGTCCTGGGGTTCTTCGGCTCCTGTGAGTGAAGGGACAGTCTGGTTTAGTACATTTTGCATCATATTTACAATCTGGATGAACAGACACTTCTCAGCAAATTTACAATTGGGAAAGGCTCTGCGAGGCGACACGGGGTGATGGTGAGCGCACGCGTCCCCGTTCTCACAGGCAGGCCAGGACTCGAAGCGCTCCCGCACTTCTCTGGCTTCTGTGCCACGCTCAGTCCACTCATCTCAGCTTGACTGTCTGCAGCGTTTCTGCCACTATGGGGTCGATTTGCAATCGGGATAACAACTGCCTCTGTTGAGTTCCTTGACCTTTGTTTGTATTATCTCCTTTTGCTTCCTCTTCTTCAATGGGAGAACTTATCCCGGGGACTCTGCCTTGTCCCTGGACCATTTCTGCTAGCAATTCTTCCTGAGAAGTTCGAGTTCTGGGAGCAACTGGAAGTGTCTGTTTCTGTGAGACTGTAGAATAGTTAGTTGTTTTTGTTACAGACTCTTGAGCTTCAGAAATAGCCTTCAAAGTTAGATTCTGTTAGCTTGTTTCGAAGGTGGAAGTGAAGGTCTCCATTCAGGCTTCGCGGGCACTGACATACTGCTGGAGAGGCTTCCTGTAGGGACCCACAGTCATTGTCTGCCTCCTCCTCTTCTCCATCGTGACTGAACTTTTTTACTTAACAACTGAACTTACCACAGGCAACTTTCTCTTCTGAAAGTTTTCTTCCTCAATACTCATCTTTGCTGAGTTGCTTCTGAAGAAGGGACTGTAAGTCTCTTCTAAGCTGTGAAGCACTTCTGGTTCACACAGACGTCCTGTCTCATACACCCGGCTGCTCTCAACATCAAGCTGTTTGGCAGCATGAATATTGTTTTGCTGCTGTTGAAACTGCAACCTGTTTAAATGAGCACCACTGTCTGCGTTTCGACTTGCAGGTAGTGGATAAATTTCAATAGAAGGGCGAGAAGAACTGTATGTAAGTGTCACTGTAGTTTTTTTCTGAGATAAGGGATTCTCCTGCACAAAATTGAGGGCTTCATCAATGAGATCGTCTGGTTCTGGCTTATTATCAATCATATCTTCAGAGGGTGCTAGCTCCCTCAAAGGTTTCACTGTGGACATTATTCGGGTTGCAGCTCCATCATCGTAAGTCTCTCTGACATTAGTGGCTTTCTGCTCCTGTGAACTTGTAGAAACTCTAGATTCTCTTTTTTCAGGTCTAGTGCTAGAAACTGCAAGAGGTGGCACTGCAGCTTCATGCCTTCTCTCATCTCCTCGACTGAAACTGCTCTTGTTTGAAGGTACGTCACCATCAAAGAGGTTGGTATCAGAAGACTTCAGACTAGAGGGGTCGGTTGTTACAGAATGAAGTTTATCTAACACACCGTGAAGCCATACGGTGAATCGAATTGTGTTGTTTCCTAGATACAGGGACAGGTTCTCTGTCATTTGGTCCTGACTTTTCTTGTTGGCCACCATCACCATAATGTAATCAGGAAGTTCTTCACTGACATAAGCTCCTAATTCTTGCAATTTCCCTCCCTTTTTTTTTCATTTATTTTTATTAGTTGGAGGCTAATTACTTTACAATATTGTAGTGGTTTTGTCATACATTGACATGAATCAACCATGAACTTACATGTATTCCCCATCTCGATCCCCCCTCCCGCCTTCCTCTCTACCCAATCCCTCTGGGTCTTCCCAGTGCACCAGGCCCGAGCACTTGTCTCATGCTCCCAACCTGGGCTGGTGATCTGTTTCACCATAGACAATATACATGTTTCTATGCTGTTCTCTTGAAACATCCCACCCTCACCTTCTCCCACAGAGTCCAAAAGTCTATTCTGTACATCTGTGTCTCTTTTTCTGTTTTGCATATAAGGGAAGCTGTGGTACATACACACCATGGAATATTACTCAGCCATTAAAAAGAATTCATTTGAATCAGTTCTAATGAGATGGATGAAACTGGAGCCCATTATACAGAGTGAAGTAAGCCAGAAAGATAAAGACCATTAAAGTATACTAACACATATATATGGAATTTAGAAAGATGGTAATGATAACCCTGTATGCAATTTCCCCTTAAAGGCACTGGCTGATCTCCGTGCCAATCTCCATGGCTCCGCGGGGGGAAGCGGTGGGCACTGCACAGCGTCCCGTGGACCAGGGGCCTGGCACTGGCTTCCCCGCCTGCAGCCAGACCGCCACAAACATAATCACTTTTAAAGGACAGATATTGTCAGATTGGATAAAGAAAGCAAAACTCAACTATATGCTGTTCACAGAAACCCATATTAAATATGAAGATATAAGTATGTTAAAAGTAAAACAATAGGAAAAAAATACAATGATAACACTAATCAAAAGCAAGTAGGAGTCAGTCAAAATACAGAAGCCATGGGCTTTTCTCTATACTAGCATGAAGAATAAGAAAATGAAAATCTTAAATATGTATATTGCTTATGATAAAACTCTGAAAAATCTAGAGGTTAATTCTAAAGAAAGATGTGTAAGGCCTTTATTCACAAAACTATAAAAACCTGAAAAAAATTAAAGATGACCTTCACCTAGAGCCAGACATCCTGGCATGTGAAGTCAGGTGGGCCTTAGAAAGCATCACTATGAACAAAGCTAGTGGAGGTGATAGAATTCCAGTTGAGCTTCAAATCCTGAAAGATGATGCTGTGAAAGTGCTACACTCAATATGCCAACAAATTTGGAAAACTCAGCAGTGGCCACAGGAATGGAAAAGGTCAGTTTTCATTCCAATCCCAAAGAAAGGCAATGCCAAAGAAAAGCATCGCTCAAACTACCACACAATTGCACTCATCTCACATGCTAGTAAAGTAATGCTCAAAATTCTCCAAGCCAGGCTTCAGCAATATGTGAACCGTGAACTTCCAGATGTTCAAGCTTGTTTTAGAAAAGGCAGAGGAACCAGAGATCAAATTGCCAACATCCGCTGGATCATCGAAAAAGCAAGAAAGTGCCAGAAAAACATCTATTTCTGCTTTATTGACTATGCCAAAGGCTTTGACTGTGTGGATCACAATAAACTGTGGAAAATTCTGAAAGAGATGGGAATACCAGACCACCT